CCCCATTTCACTACAAGGCAGACAGCTGGAAAACAAACCGTAATTTTTACAATAAATCATTATCTGTGTGTACAGTCGTTTAATGCTTATTTAAACCGATCCTTAGTTTCCATACTTTAGAACCTTAGCCAAAAGTTAGCTATAACCTAGCTTCCAGTTAGCTTCCAACTTCCAAAAGAATAGAAAAAACGTCAAATAAACATTTATAAACTACATTGAAATACTAAGTTTACAATCCCTATAGATTTACACAGATAATTCAAAACTGACCTGTGAGTTTCTCATCAAAACTACCTTTGGTTCTAAAAAAAAATCTAGCTACCGCGCACTAGATTTAAAGTAGATTATCAGCTAACAACACTGTTTTCTGACGATAAAGTCTAAAGACGTTTGATTTAAAAATGGAACATATTAATTTAGACAACGGTTATTAGAGGCGTTAGTATAAAGGTGTGAGCAGGACGGTGAGATATTACCCTCGCATATGACCCTGGCGTCCGCGGGCTCCGGTCTCTTGAGCAGCGTGAGCAGCGCGTGCAGCAGGCGCGCGCGCCGCGCCCCGCCCGCCAGCTGCGCGCCGCCCGCCAGCAGCGCCGCCGCCTCGCAGCGCCGCGACACCAGCGTGTGCGGCATTATCTACACAACTACTATTTTAACCCTCAATTCGAGGTATTGTAGCAAAAAAATGTTACCAACACACTGAAATCAAAATCACACGTATTTTCCTCTAAACCAATAGATTTTTTTTAAATTTCGTCACGTTGGACACTATTGAATTAAGGGCAACTACTAATTTTCGCCAGCAACTCCGTCCAAGAGCCATTTTAAAAACCAAAAAAAGGGGCATGTGTGTTTTTCCAAACTACCCTCTACATCTATGGCAATTTTCATTGAGATCCGTTAAGTTTTTTTGTTAAGTAGTTTAGGCTTAGTTTAGCATTTGTTCAGTATGATATAGTTTTCAATAAGCCCTGTCCATGACAGCTACCATCCAGTGAATGTTCACCAATTTGGAGATTACCCATAACTAACACAATTTACGAACCGACAGACAAAAAAAATTTAATCCGATTTTGGTTATCAGCAACATACATCATTTTTGCGACATTTGTTTTTTTATAACATTACACAGACATACCAATTATTTCAACTATATATATAAGAAGCACTCACCCTAGGCAGTGTATCAGCCACTAATGACAAAAGTCCAGGTAATGTGATAGGTTTGTCGCTGTTCACCAGCTCTGCCAGCAGGTCATTGGTCAAAGGCTCATTAAGATTCAATGCTTCAGCACACCAATTTAGGATTGGCTCCTTAACACCAGTTGGTATCCCACTGAAATTTAAAAAAAAAAACATTAAAAAACTCCCAAACTGTTTTCTACTGAATTACTGAAAAAAAAATTACAATTAATTGTCACAAAACAATTTCCTAAATAATTCCAAAAGACAGAAAAGTCCCTTATTGTAACTTAACTTTAAGTAATAATTATTGTAACTTAACTTAAAAATTAAGTAGTTGTGATTGTAACTTAACTTACAATTATTGTTATTTTGAAGTTAGCAACAGCTGTGACATTAATACCTGCTTATTAAATTCTTAATATCATTGGCTAAGCAATTAAAGTTATAGTTACATTAGTTCTTACAGTGGGCGTACACCTTTCACTAAATTGTCGTACAACTGTGTAGTCTCGCATTGATTCCTATAAGCTTATAAGGAGGTGCGCACACTACTGAATTCATTTTTATTTGTGCAACTAAACAGTTGAAAATATACTAAACAACTGCAAACAATCGTCAATCGCACAACAGTTGTAAGATAGTTAAGTGAAAGGAGTGCCGACTCTTATTGTATCTTTTATGTCTATTTTTAATTATTATTATTTTGGAGTCGCTAACAGAGACAAACCGAGGTAGACAGTCACATTTATAAACGCTTTCTATATTTTTAACATAACAATTGGAATAAACAATTAAACTTACGGTTATATAAGGTCTATGTCTATTTTGATACATTAAAATTAAATGAAAGATGTAATTATGAATTTTTTTTTTTTTATAACAAGGTGGCAAACAAGCAAGCGGCCATCTGAATCCGCTAAAATGGCGAAGAGACCGCTGCCCATAGACATCCGCAATTGCAGATGCGTTGCCTACCCTTATATGATGGAGGAGACGCACATAAAGAGGATATTTCCCCTTCCCATCCTCTCCTTATAAGAAAAGGGTGGTAAAGAGAAAGGGGCTTAAATGAGGCTTCCGGCACCACACTCATCATACGAAACACGGAATTTAATAACATACCTGTCTATCCACATTTCCTTAGTGTTATTCTCGATGTTGTATTCGTAGTGGAGACGCGTCCAGTCGCCGTTGTCGTTGATGCTGAGCGTGTCGTCGAGCGTGGTGACGCTGGCGCGCCGCGGGGACCCGCATACCGCCGGCTCGAACGAGCTCGTGTTAGATCCTTCCTTCTTACTATAGGAAACACCAGTATTTGGTTGCCGTTTATTACAATTTTGAGAATAAAAATTTAAATATTTGTCTTATAAGAATAAAATCATTTAGAATGTTTCATGCAACAGAGTAATTTACCTAGAATTTTTTTTACATCTTTTTTTTATTTGCTTGGCTTTCTAATATTATAAATTAGATGTTGCTCGCGAATTCGCCTGCGTAATATTAAAAAATAAACAAAAACATAGCCTATGTTACTCAGTATAACATAGCTTTTTAATGATGCAAGATTTTTTTAAATCGGTCCTGTAATTTTGGAGTTATTTCAATACATACAAAAATACAAATCTTTCCTCTTTATAATAATTGTATAGATTGCAAACAACTCAAATAAATATCCATTTCGTTTACAACTTTTTATAAGTTAACTTTTAGTTAACAACTTGATAATTACACAAACAATTTTTTTTTAAATCAATGTTAAAAAATAAATAATCTAACTTACATTCCACAATTTTTCTCACTATCAATCATTTCAAACTGGTCCGGTGTTGCACTATTTGTTGAATTTCCACTGCCATAATGATTTTCAGTTGCGGTACAAGTTATGGGTCTCGCATCTAAAGATTGCTGTATTGTTTGGTCTGACGTTAACAATTTATCTGCAGGTATTTGTAGATCGAGACCTTTACTCTCTGATGTAGGACTTGTTAGAGAATTTAAACTCACAATTGCAGCATCATATAACTTTTGAAAGTTCAATTTTTCCGTCTCTAATGCTATTAGCTTTTGTTTTAATAATTCTATTTCTTCAGCTTGTATTAATATCTAAAAAGAAACCAATATTTATTTAATTATATTACTAATCATTATTGGAATGAAATCATAGTTTTAAAAAATAATTTATATCATATCAGTTAATGTTATAAATACTGATTATGACATATCCACACAATTTTTTTTCTATATGTAGAGTCAACAATACTATTTCTGTCACATTTTTAAATCTATTTTGTTTCCACAAGCATTTAAAGTAAAAAATGAATTAACATTACTTGCATAATACCATCCATTGGTCTGAAAAACGCTTGTGAACTGAAAATCAAACCAATACTGAACATACCTCATGGTTCCAATCTGCGTCATTATCTAATGAAGTCTGACAGCTAACACATACATTTTCCTCCTCACCGTCAGTTTGACATAGCATGTCAACAGTTTGTATGTTAGTTTGTGTGTCAACATGAATTGTTGAAGTGCTCAATGCCCTTTTATTGCCTCTAAACAATGAGATCAGACCAGCAGGTCGAGGCATGTTGAGACCAACATCATCCCAATCTTCAAATTCCTTAAAAAAATTTTGATTTCAATACTAGTAGTAGTAAGTAATTTATAGAAAAAAATTATAGTAATTTATAGTATAGCAAAACATAAAAGTCCTAGAGACAGATTTTTTTTATAAGAATCTGAGGTTTTATTCATTTTATTGATCAACATAAAATTATATTTAAAAGTTGTCTATTTAGCTTGTGCAAAGATACATTTTACTAATCATACTAATTCCTACTAATATGATAAATGCGAAAGTTAAGATGGAACGATGGAAAGATGTTTGTAGCCTAAACTGCTGAACAAATCTTGATCAAATTTGGCATAAATGTAAAGGATAATCTGGAGGAACATATAGTCTATTTGCTTTACTTTTTTTTTATTCCAGGTGGACAGAGTTGTCGGGTGAAAGCTGATTTTTACTAAAATAGCTACAACATTAGTATTTTGGGCCAAGTGTTCACCAATAAACTTTTCTCAATTAAGACTTTTATATAAAAGATTTAAATATGTATTGCATAAATAAAAAACTGTCAACTCCATAGTTTTTTTGATGTATCGTATATTTTAATAGTTTACCTGATCAGGGTTTTCATCTGAAAATGTTATTGAAGTGAGCTTATAATTTTGAAGCAATAGATATTCATTGATAAGGAAATTTAATGCTCGTTTTTCATGTGGCTTCAATGATCTCTTATCAAAATTATCTTGAGTGATCTTATCCAATGCAGATTCACCATCTAAAAAATTAGATAAATAATATAAAAGTAATACATACAAAAATTTATGCAACTTAATTGAAAAACAATGGGTTTGCACTAACAAAATGTTATAAAACAAATTGTTGTCTTTTCTTCTTACAGGAGTATGAGAGTTTTGGGGAGGAACAATGTTTTTTAGTGTTTACAGTAATGAAAATTCACTGTAAAAATGACTGTAAAGTGTACCCACTACTTTTTTGTCCTTTCTATTTTAAAAAAGTTACCTGCAAACTGTGTAAGATTAGCCCGTAAGGCATTAATAGTCTCTCTAGCCTTCCGTAGTTCAAATTCCAGCACAGCTACATCTCCTCCACTGCCTCCTCTATCACCACCCCCATCTTCGGAATATCTGGCTGTATCCAGTGAATCTAAAGTGGCTTGGCTAGGTGTTCGATCTGAAACATGCAGAGAAAATTTTTATGGCTAATCTGTCTAGTGCAATATTTAAGTATTGTTATACCATTTATACATTTACTATTTAAGCAGATTTGACATACAAAAGTAAACATTTGCTCAAATTCAATAATAATATACAACAATTATTCTGTGACCATAAGTAGCCACAGTGACATCATAAGTAAATGATTATTCAAATTCACTTACGCATAGACCCAATATCAGATGGTCTAGATACATGTTGTTCAAAGTTGCCTGGATTTGAAAAGAATTCTCTTAGCTGCGGAAGCTCTTTACCGCTCTCAACCAACTCTGTATGAAGCTCTAACGCTGTTAGAAAGTAATGGTCTTTCAGTAATTTAGTTGCTATATCTTCATATGCAAGATGTGGTGAAGAATTAAAAGAACTCTCTTCGACGTCTTTATACGGATTCATTGTTTTTATAAGTGTCTATATAGCCAAACATATAATAAATTTTTATATATCATCGCCCACATGAGTCAATAACAATAACTGCTTTGTTTTATCACCAAAACAGAGTTTTTTCTACGATTTCAAGAAATTATGACATATCCGTAAGTTTGACATTTGACAGTTCACATCATACTTGACATTTGTCATGTTAATGTTAATAATAATAATAATAAAAAATGACAAAAGCATGAAACAGCTGCTTAAAGAACGGTTTCTTGGTCGCCTGAAAAAAGTACTGAAAAGTCTTTTATCAGGCGGAAACAAAT